CTTCCCACATTGATCACAAGTGAATGGTTTCTCTCCAGTATGAACCCTCATATGTGCCGTAAGGTGTTGTTTTTGTGCAAAACTCTTCCCGCACTGATCACACGTGTACGGTTTCTCTCCAGTGTGGATCATTTCGTGTGTTTTCAGATGTCCTAACTGAATCTCTCTCTTGTCACAGTGTGAACACTTATAAGGTTTCTCTCCAGTGTGAATCCTCTCATGCAGTTTTAAACAGTTTGCTGTAGTAAAAGTCTTTTCACACTCAAAGCACATGTACTCTCTCACAGCAGTATGTATTTTCTGATGTTTTTTCAAACTTTGTAGACATGAAAAACTCTTTCCACACAAATAACATGAATGTGGCTTCTCCTTTGTATGAACTCTCAGGTGATTCTTCAGGTCTGAAGCTCTCAAAAACATTTTGCCACATTGATCACATGCATATGGTTTCTCTCCAGTGTGGATCATCATGTGTTCCTTAAGTTTTGATGATTGTGAGAAACTCTTCCCGCACTGATCACAAGTGAATGGTTTCTCTCCAGTGTGAACTCTCATGTGAAGATTAAGACTACGTTTGCTTGTCAAACTCTTTCCACACTGAGTGCATGTGAAAGATTTCTTGGCTCTTCTTTTCTTTAAACCTTTCTGTTTGGTTTGAGAGCAACTCCAAGGTTTTTCTCTGGTTTTGACATGATTTTTCTCCTCAACGTCACTCAATTCTTCATTCTCCTCTTTTTCTTCAATAAACTCTAAAATAAAAGCAAAAACAGTTAATTTGTCAGTAACTTGGGAAAATAAATAGAGAAATGTGAAAGGACATAAAAGTGAACCCTGGTGTAACAGTGTAAAGACAATTTCTGTACAAAATGTTGTTCCTTTTGATACAATTTGATCAATTATACATCCCTGAAACTTTTCATGATGAGGTACAATAATCTTCAAAATATCATTTTTGAAACATTATAGACACAAATACCATGTTAATAGAGAGAACTATTAAATGTTTGATTAACCACACAATTATCTAACATA